AGGGTCTCGTTAGACACTCCTAAAAGTTCCTGTTTTTAGGATTGCGTCTTGGTTGCACGCAGTCCTAAATGGGACGCGGGAATCGAAAATGTGAAAACGGCGTTAGGACTCGTCCTAAAAGATTTAGGATTCCCCAGCCAAATCGTCCTAAATTTTCCAGTCGCGTCGTGAGAATGGCACCGTCGACACGGAGGAGCTGGTCCAGGAGAGGTCCATCGGGCTGGTGGGCAGACATCGGAGGTTTTCTGGCGGTCGACGACGGCAACGGCCCCCACCGGTAGCCGTTGGACGGTGAGGTGGAGCAGGCGGGGCGAAGCGTGGCCAGGCGGGCGGCCGTTGCAGACCGTTGGCTCGGGTGCAGGCAACGGAGGAGTTCCCAGACGTCTGCACGACGACACACGGAGGCGGCGTGGGCGCCAACGGTCAGTTTTTGAATCGGAGGCGCCAACGTTTGTTGTCTTCGTTGGCGGTCGACGGCATATGAAGGTCTAGCGGCCTTGTCCGCGGGCATGCAACGAGAAAGTTCAGCAGGACGTCACGTGCAAGGTCGCCTGTCGACGTCGAATTCATGGCAGATTTGCAGAGGAGATTGCCTCTGCTGCTGCTCGTGGTGGTCGTCTTCCTCTTTGTCGTCTTCCTCCACGTGTGCTTGTCGTGCCGGCCGTGGAAGCAACATCGAAAGCGCAGGGCGTCGACGAAACGCGTTGTGCTTCAAGGGGAACGTCCCATGGCGGGCATGAAGGCATGCGCTATTCTGCCTGCAGCTGAGGGCGGAAGAAGACCTGCGACGACGGAGCCTTCACGGCGGTATGACCCGTCCATGTACAGCCATCTGCCGTCGTGGGAGACGCCGCTGCCTCCCTCGGACGAGGAGTCGGAGGGGGATGAACTTCCAACGTTTCCTCTCGCCAGTGGGTCGACGCAGCTGTTGTCGCAGACGGTGCTCGTAGGCGGGTCGGCGAGCAATGAACAAGGCGAGTACACGTCACTCCTGCAGCAAGGGTTGGGAGACGACGACGACGGGGGAGTTGATCTCCGGTTCGGCTTGAGTTCTGGCGGTGCTAGGGAGGCGAGCCGCACGGTCATCACCGCCGCCCATGCTTCCGCAGGTGGCCTGCAGCAGCCTCGAAGGGAGCAGACGGGACCTTCCACAGTACGTGGCGGCGCGTCCGTCATTGGCGGTGTCGGGTCTTCGCCAACAGCCCGGCAGCATGTATCGAGTGCGCCGTCTGGGGAACGATTGACGGATAACTGGGACGTGCGCACTGCTGCCGCAGCAGCATCCCTGCGCACCAGCGGTGCACGCTCGTCAATGCTGAACCGAACAACCCCCGCGCCACCCGAAGGGAGGGACGAGGGCGCCTGCAGACCACCGGCCGGTTCAGGAGCCAGTGTGGAGAACATCACTCGAGGCGTGTCAAACATCCAGGCACACAGCGATGGCGGCGACGACGATGGCTGTGGCGGTGACGATGCCGACGACGGATTCAGGGAGGAAGTCGAAGCGGGGGACGACGACGACGACAATGCTATTCAGCCTATGGGGAAGACGGGTGGTAGGGGTATTGGACGCARCAACCGTGGTGGCCGTGGTCGATCCGTTGGCCGTGGCGGCAGAGGTGGCGTCACCGACGACGGAGGGAAGTCTGCGACGTACTGGTCGACGGACGAGCAGATGCTCCTCGTCAAATGCAAGCGGGAGCAGGAGATGCACCTCGCTGGGCTGGGCCACAATTACGACCGGATGCGGACGAAGGAGTGGAAGTGGGTCGACATTGCGAAGCGCATGGCGAACGGTGGGAGCCCTAAAGACGCAGACGACTGCATGAAGAAATGGGACAATTTGTTCCAAAACTACAAGAAGATACAGAGGTTTCAGAACGCGAGCGGGCGGCCAGATTTCTTCAAGTTGTCCAACGACGAAAGGAAGGAGCACAACTTCAAGTTCCCGATGGAGAGGGTGTTGTACAACGAGATCCACTCCGGCATGTTGGGGAACCATACTATTTTCCCTCCCAACATCGCCGACACCGGCAGTCCGGACGGGGTGCAACTGCCCAGGAGAGGAGCGGGTGGTGGGGAGTCTGTTGATAGTGAGGGCGGTGGTGACGGCTGCCCTGAAGAAAGATCTTCTGCAAGGGACTCCGACGTGAACGCTTGCAGTGTTGCCGGAGGCGGGAAGTGTAAGAATGCTCGCCAACAGGCGCTGGAGTCCATCGCTGATGTCATGGACCGCCATGGCGAGCTGATGTCGTCAACGATTGAATCGTCCAGCAAACGGCAATGCAGCATTTCATCGAGGCAGTGCGACATACAAGAACGGCAGTGCGACATACTCGCGCAGGAAGTAGCGGTCCAAAAAGCGCACTATGCGGCGTCCGACGAGACGCAGAGGATGATGTGTCACGCACTTCTGGAGATCGCTGCTGCCATCCGTGGTCGTTTGACGATGTAGCCCATCGAATCGTTTCTTGATTACGTTGCTACCATTGCGGTCGGTGTAGCCATGAAGATTGTTTTTTTGTTTTGTTATTTAATTTTTTTTTATATGTCGGTTTCTTTTGCGTAAGATGATGGAGGCAGACCGCACGATATGATTATGCTTGTGAAATGGTTGCCACAGATGAGGGGGGCCGTCTGCGCTGGATTTGCCGCATTTCGTGGCGTCAATCGTTGTATTGATGAAAAAGTGTGTGTG